CAAAGCTTGGACTGCATTAAATGGTGCATTCGCCGGGTGAGGAATGTTTGTGCTAAAACTTCTGGATGTTGACGATTTTTCGTAGGATCGTTGTGTGAAGGTTGTTTTAGAATCCTTGCATAGCATTGATTTACTGGCCAATGTCTTACCTTATTATAGTTTGGGTGGGGGGATCACAACGATCCTGCTAACTCTTATTATAGTTTGGGATCTATTGCTTTTCATTGTCTATACATTCTTAGATTTTTTTTTTTATGAACGTTGCGCTGGTCTTCACGCCATCATCAATGATTTCAATTAGTGCGCTGAAAAAAAAAATAATAATAATTGTTGAACATTGTTGGTCTCTTGCCATTGGTTAAAACAGTGTCCCTCGTTTTAGGCACACATTTCAATAGCTTTGGTTTTTGTTTCATTTTAAATATTCAAATCGGGGAAAATAATTTCTTTTTGAAACAATTAGTGAAATTGCATGACTTCTGTCCAACACAGCTGTCGCTTTTTGTAAGCCTGGGATACTGTCTGTTTTTTTGTTTTGTTTTTTCTCCGTTTTTTTTTTTCTTGGGTGGATTTGGGGGGGTCGGACTTTTTGCCTCTACTCATTGAATCGGACTTTATCATCCAGTGCTATGAACTATAAACAGATTCACACTGATGTCTTATTTATTTCCTATACATTTCCGTATTGGTCTTATTTTCATCCTAAATAAAATAAAATTCACTCGTGAGACCTTTATATGAGGTTATATAGTATTGAGAGAGATAAATATGTGAACTTTATTATTCCCAATACAAAAGAGAAATGTCCCGATAAACTCTCCATGTGAAAATTTGTCTTTGAGTTGTTTAGAACAAATATTTTTTTCAATGTATATTTTATGCAATAAAATATGTTGAATCAAAAATATATCTTTTATATTCTAGTCAACCAGGGCACGCATTTGGGGATCGTGTACTCTCACTGGTTTTTCAGGGACATGTTGGTACTTGTGGTAGCATCTCTCATGTGGTCAAGATTTGTTTAGTGTCATCATGACCAAGAAAATTATTTGGCCAGCTCGCGTCTGCAGGAGTGAGAAAATTACTTTGCCAGCTCGCGTCAGCAGGACTGAGAAAATTACTTAGCCAGCTCGCGTCAGCAGGACTGAGAAAATTTCTTTGCAAGCTCGCGTCACCAGCAATAAGAAAATTACTTTGCCAGCTAGTTTAACCAGCAATAAGAAAGTTACTTGGCTAACTCATTGAATTTGAACATCAAAAAAAAATAAAATAATAATAATAATAATAATGAATGTTAAGGTGCAGTTATTTTGCTTCAAGCTTTATCTGATATACTCTTTAAGCATTACAGCTTCACTGTCCTTCAGGCACCGTTGTGGGTCGGAGTGAATTTGAAAAAAAATTAAAAAGGTATACCTATGCACATAGCACATATCTGTATTTGTTTAAGAAAAAAAGAACAGTAGCAAAAAACACAATATTTTGGCACCATTTAATCAACAGGAATTTCTTTAGTAAATGAAGTACGGGCCTGATTTTGACGCCGTAGGTGGTCAATTCAGTGTTTCATATTTGTCTCTGTTGCAGTAATAAAATAATTTATTTGCATTGAACTTGATATTAGTTGTTTTCTATGGTTATTATGATGGAAGTTATTCAGCTTTAATTTGACTTTTTTAAACAAATATTATCTATATATGTATAATTCGGCAGCAAAGGTCAAACACCACCACGCAGGCTATATATAGATACGTCAGAGTGTCGTTAAATAATGAGTTCAATAGCGCGCAAAATATAATTCCCGATAACTACGCTAAATGATAAATATATATTTTTAATAACGCAATTGCAACTGGTGCGTAATATTTTCTTTTCGGAAATAAAATCGTCTCAGTTTAAGTATTGTGTAAAAAATATTCGGTTTAAAGTTGGTTGGGACACGAGAATCTATATAGATAATTCGCGAGCAAAAATCATACAAGACGGGTCAAACACCACGCAGGCTATTTATAGATACGGCAGAGTGTGGTTCAATAAGAATGAATAAAACAGAGTAGGGTTAAACCTGAAAAAAGAAACGCAACAAAAAAACGAACGTGTCGGCAGAAAGCCTTAGTCAGCGAACAAAACAACAGAAAAAACGGTATAAAAATAAAAATAAGAAATATCACTTGCTTGGACGTAGTATCCGATGGCAGCAAAAGATATGAAGCCATGAGGGGGGGGCTGAATATTTGACTAAATATGCATACAAGTGACACACTTTTTATGAATCCCAATACGTGCCCTCTGCCCTATTTTTCAAGGGTCGAAACCGCACATTTTTTTTCCTGCCCCAGGACTATATTTATATTGTAATGTCCCACCCGCTTTCCGACCACAGATTTATTTCATCAAACGATTTTAGAAAAAAAAACAAGAGCAATTATTATGCACCAAACGCACTTTGCGATATTTTTTTAAAAGAAAATCATTTAGCGCAGTTATCGGGAATTATGTTTCGTGAAATCAGTAGCATCTTGTTTTCTTCAGCTTTGTCTTGACAAAGAGAAAAAAAAAAACCTGATCTTTTGGAGATTGGGGTTGGGAGGTGTGGCTGAAAGATTGAAATAATGTGTTTCCATCAGTAATGAGTCTATGTGCCAAGTTTCAGCTGAACAGATGGACGAGAAGTGGGTCCATTAAACGTCCGAAGATTTTGTCAGCCAGCCAGCCAGCGAAAAACAAATACCAAGTATTATCATGGATTTAGTAATTACGGATTCCACTGGAAACATTTCCCATTCTGTGATAAAACAGCATTTAAATAGCATTTAAACAGCATTTAAACAGCATTTAAACAGCATTTAAACAGCATTTAAACAGCATTTAAGGAGCATTTAAACAGCATTTAAACAGCATTTAAACAGCATTTAAACAGCATTTAAACAGCATTTAAACAGCATTTAAACAGCATTTAAACAGCATTTAAACAGCATTTAAACAGCATTTAAACTTATAAAGTAAAAAAAAAAAAAGTTTCCCTCGTGCACCTCTTGAACTCCGAAGGACGTCAACTAAAAACATCCATTGTTTAACCTGATCTTTGTCAAAAAACAAAAATGTTGCTGTGACTCGATGATTCATTACATCCACTCCAGTCACTTTAAAAAGTCTACCCATAAGGTGTGTTTGTTCATTGTCATGAGAAATCACACACTCCTATCTCTCTAGATCATTCGCAAGATTTGTCTGATACTTTAAAAAAAAATAATTTACGAAGAAATCACTTTTACGGTTTGTTTCTGTTTGTGTGCCGAGATTCATTTTAATAACACGATTACGTCACGATTGAAATGGAGGACTGAAACTCATATGTACAGCATATAATTTACAGTTTGTTCATTATGAATCCAGTGATATGAGAGATTTATTTTAAAAAAAAATAATATACAATTAAAAGGTCTGATAATATTATTGTAATTTTTTTTTTATCAAACTTGATTTGATGGACTGTAAGCGTAAAATTTATAATTTTAAAATTATAATAAATTGTAGATCTTTGTCATGTGATACAAAATTTAATATAGCGATAAATTAAATTACTCAAAGATTGGTTCATTATTTAATAACATTAAGGGATAAAAATGTTATTTAATCCATAATAATTTACCCAATGTTATTGCGTCGCTCTTTGTCCAATAGGCTGTGTCCATTTCAAATAACCATAAAACCTTTTTTCACCATTCAAGACCAACGCCCTCTCAGTGCCATTCCTGCCATAAAGACCTTCCCCGGACTAACGGACTAACGCATTCTCTCTCTTTCTCTCGATCTCGTTCTAGCTACCTCTATTTCTCTAGCTACTTCTCTCTCTCTCTCTAGCTAACTCTCTCTAGCTACATCTATCTCTAACTACCTCTCTCACTCTCTGTCTCTCTTTAGCGATCTCGCTCTCTTTCTCGCACTACCGTTCTCTCTCTATCTCTCCAGCCAACTCTCTACCTCTTGCTTCTTCTCTCCCTCTCTTGCTACCCCTCTCGTTCTCTGTCGTTTTCTCTATCTCTTTCCAGCTCCATCACAGTGTTCTCTTCCTGTCATAAATTCTTTGTAACTTATCCATAACCGCTTCATTAAAATTTGCCTTTAACCCTCCCAGAAACCTTTCCTGTAGTCTCCCCCATCACCAGAACCAAATTTTGCTGTCCCAAGATCAACTTTTTTATCCATTCACATTACATACCGTCAATTTAATTTCTATACAGAGCATGAAAGAAAAGAAAAGTTTAGTACTATAGGATATGTTCCAAAAAAAACATTCCGGGTTTGAGTTTGTATGATATGTTTGTCAGCAAGTGTATTTATTATCCGGTTGTTAATGAGTTAATGTCAGCAACGTCTGACTCATCGGAAGGGGGGGGGTGGGGGAGGGGTTAACACACTAGTTATTATAAAGGGTGTGTATTTTTGCGACATCCCCAAAGATTTTTTTTTTTATATAATAAGATGCAGATTTGATAGATTTTGAAAGAGAGAGATCGCAGATTGGAGATTAGTAGCAAATTGTATTCTGATTGCAGATGATTTGGATAGAGCGATTTTGAAAAGTAGCTGATAATAGTTTACTACCGCCATTTGGAAACGAACAAGGAATTAACTAAGGCTAGAATCGATTACATGCCATTATTTGTGTAGTTTTTCACATTTGCCATAAAAGCGTGAGACGGATGAGTGCTTCTGTGGCTGTTGTGAAGAACCCTAACCCTAGACAACATTGTCCGCCCAATTCATGCCCTTTTTTCATATCACTTGAGCCTTTACTTTGTCTTTTTCTTGACTACACGTTTTTCTGTCACTGACAAAAATCTTTCGAGAGAGGAAAGGGTAAAGAAAACATGTTACTTCCAAAGTTACTTTATACAAAAGGACAATAACACTAACTTTGTTTTTTTTTTTTTTCAATAATTATTTTAGGGTAAACATGTACACGTCTTGGTGAAGAACCCGGCATTTGTGGTGTCATGAAGTTTTCGGGAGCCATCTTAACTGCTGGTTTATTCATTGCTGGTAAGTTTTCTTAAATACCGATTGTTTGAATTACTAATTGGTTAAACATTGCCCTATTATTACCTTAGTCAGATGTTTTTGGTATGACATTTAATTCTACTTCATATTTTGCCAAATTTCAAATGGACAATTTTTTTTTTTATATTACTGCTAATAAATGTATTTATTTCATCGATATTCTCAGACATTTTATTTGACATATTGTTGACTTTAAAACTCTAAGTAAAGAATTGGAATCGTTCGTCACGCGTGTTGAGTGGAGAACGTACCTCGACCAATTAAAAACTATTGTTTGTAATTTAAAGACTTTTCTTACCAAGAAAAAGTAATGCATTGAAATAAAAATCATTAACTTAAAATTGTGATCACAACTTCCTCCACTGAAAATTTAGCGTCGACTTAAACAAACGATTTGATTTGGATTTTAATCTGTTATTAATGTTTTGGCGGATATTTGCAAGAAACGTAAATGCAGTTTTTCCCTTTCCATTTTCCTGTTAAAGAGGAGACACAGTTTTTTTTTAAAGATGACTACTAACTTGAATGTCATGTAGCGCGTTATATCCCATTTTAAAAGAACGGTTATTCTGTAATTGCGATGTGCATTTAGTATGTGTAAACGATTCTAATATCCAAAAGTGTATTTAAAAAAAATATTTAATGATGCTTTTAAAAACGGTCTTTTTATATTTGCATTCTCTAAATCGTTTGATTCGTATAAACCAGTGATCCCGATAAACCAGTGATCCCCATAAACCAGTCATCCCAATAAACCGGTGATCCCAATAAACCATTGATCCCTATAAATCAATGATCCCAATAAACCAGTGATCCCAATAAACCAGTGATCCCAGTAAAAGGGGCCTAATGTAATTTCGACCTCAAAAGTTTATAGTTTTCCAAATTATTTTACACTTTCAGTTTGCGCTCAAATGCAACCTATCGTGGACAAAACATACGTTCCTATTGGAGGGATGTTCACAGTAACCTGTGATGCCAATCGCTTTCCTCCTGGTTCTATTCCTTCACATTTGAATGCGATCGCCGAGTTGAGTATTGACAGATGTGTGGGCAAAGAACCCAGAGAGACGATTGCTGTGTACTTGCCGTATCCATTTCCTAGCTACTCCAATGTGTCCAAGGTCAGCGAATAGTTTGCATATATCCTTGGGCATCGCTTGAGATAAGTCATTTCCTGGTTACTCCAATGTGTCCAAGGTCAGCGAACAGTTTGCATATATCCTTGGGCATCGCTTGAGATAAGTCATTTCCTGAGAGTTGTCAAATAAATGTTTGAGCTTTAACAACGGTATATGTATTGAGTTACGGGTTTTATTCTGCTCGGCTTCAGCTGATAGGAACTTTTCCACGAGATGAATTTTCTAAGACAGCTATTTTTACTTAGTTGTCCACTGTGTATCGTATTCCATGCATTGAATTAAACTGTTAATAATTGATCATCTTTCACATTTTTTAAAAACTTTTGACAGTTTTAGTGAAAACAATCAACACTATTAACATTAGCAAGGCCATTTATTCAACGACTCTATTAAAGTCAAACCATACCCTACCATGATGTTTTCCATCGTGCCGGTCCGCACACAATGAGAAAATAAAATAATTCATAACTATTGCTGTGGGGCCTGGTGCAGTGAGCAACGTATTCACCGGACCAATCAGTTCAACTTAAACGTTAGGGAACACTGACTTAGATCCATGATGGAACTAACTAATATAGTTTGCTATTATAAGTTTCAAATAAACACTTTGCTTTTTAAGATGACCGGGTTTTTTTTTTCCATTGTGTTTTTTAGTTTATTCCAACCGGAAGAAACTGGATCGTTGAAGCGTCTGGGGGAATTCCGTCCGGTGACCCTCCGATCAACAACAAAGCTACCATAAAGATTGAGTTGGTTGTCAAGGATGCCAAATGCTCTGATGCCGGCATATACAGTTGCAATGCTTCTTACCTCACATTAAGTACCGGGACAGTAAAGATTTCGAATTCTCATGATTTAAAGAGTAATGTTTTCAATTTGTCATTTGTTTAAGTTAATTCATAAAAAATAGTACTATTTAGATGGTGTGCAGAAAGAGTGTTTTTATTAAACTGAAATTAACGCGCATTTATACATTGAAAATGGCCAACATACTTATAAGTTATGATGAAATTTTAAGCTTACAAATTATATGTAATGATTAAAATCACAAAGCTAACATACAACCAACCGTTTTTTTTTCCAAAAATTATACTTGAACTCCACATACATCTCTATGAGTTTCTTATATTTCTGTAAGTGAAATAATAATATTATTGAAACGATGGACGGTGGCGCAGATGTGACTGAAAGGCGTAAAGGGATTTTCCTTCTCATGTGGCAGCAAGAGACGATAGTTCAGGATTTCAAGGACCCACATAGTGCTCACTCTTACAAGCGCAAAATGTCTAAGAACGTATTGCCATGAAGACGCATCAGCGACCAAAGCAAAGTAAAGGTTTACAAATGCGGCTGTACTCGACCACTGATATATGCCTGTGAAACATGGAAAGTATATCAAACAACTTTCACACGACCAGTCTAAGAGAAACGTTTATAATATCAAATGGCGAAACTAAGTGATACACACCGAGGTACTCACCCACGCAAGCAGGTCTCCAGTGCATATGCACCTTATCAATGCAGTGCAAGTTTCGGACATGGGTGGGACATATTGCGAGACCATCTGACGACCGCTTGCCCTTAATAGTATTTTATGTCGAAGTCAAGCATGCCAAGCAGTTTGTTAGCGGACAGAAGAATCATTGAAAAGACGCATGGTCGCATCTTCGAAAGCTTTTTACATTAAGCCCTTCATTTAAAAATCATTAAACCCGCACGGGTCACTCATCTCAGGTCAATGGGGAAATAAATATTTTTTTTTTAAATTGTGAAACTTGTTTCCTTTTTTAAAAGGGTTGTTGCCCTTATGGATGTCTGTCAAAAAAACAACAACGGTCCGTGTAGTGTCTGTGGCTTGGTGTCTGTGGCTTGGTGTCTGTGGCTTGGTGTCTGTGGCTTGGTGTCTGTGGCTTGGTGTCTGTGGCTTGGTGTCTGTGGCTTGGTGTCTGTGGCTTGGTGTCTGTGGCTTGGTGTCTGTGGCTTGGTGTCTGTGGCTTGGTGTCTGTGGCTTGGTGTCTGTGGCTTGGTGTCTGTGGCTTGGTGTCTGTGGCTTGGTGTCTGTGGCTTGGTGTCTGTGGCTTGGTGTCTGTGGCTTGGTGTCTGTGGCTTGGTGTCTGTGGCTTGGTGTCTGTGGCTTGGTGTCTGTGGCTTGGTGTCTGTGGCTTGGTGTCTGTGGCTTGGTGTCTGTGGCTTGGTGTCTGTGGCTTGGTGTCTGTGGCTTGGTGTCTGTGGCTTGGTGTCTGTGGCTTGGTGTCTGTGGCTTGGTGTCTGTGGCTTGGTGTCTGTGGCTTGGTGTCTGTGGCTTGGTGTCTGTGGCTTGGTGTCTGTGGCTTGGTGTCTGTGGCTTGGTGTCTGTGGCTTGGTGTCTGTGGCTTGGTGTCTGTGGCTTGGTGTCTGTGGCTTGGTGTCTTTTGTCTGGAAGAAGGACTTTTTGTCTGTGTCAGAGTCTTTTATCTGTTAGAGGGGATTTTGTCTGTGAGGAGGGCATTTCGTCTGTGTGGGGGGATTTTGTCTGTGAGTGGGGCATTTTGTCTGTGTGGGGTTTTTGTCTGTGAGGTGGATTTTGGCTGTGGGTGGGATTTTGTGTGGGAGGGGACTTTTCTCTGGGAGGGGGACTTTTGTCTTTTTTTTTTTTTGGGGGGGGGGCTTTTGTTTGTGAGGGGGCATTTTGTCTGTTGGGGGATTTGTCTGTGAAAGCGGATTTTGTCTGTGAGGGGGGATTTTGTCTGTGAGGGGGGATTTTGTCTTTGGGGTGGGCTTTTGTCTGGGAGTTGGATTTTGTGTGGGTTGGGTCTTTTGTCTCACTCTTTGTATCGGATATTTATCACACAAAGTTATTTACAAATAACACTTTCTACCCGATCTCTTATTTATTTCCTAGAAATTTCCTTTCAAATTTGGGCTTTGTTAAACTGAAACATTTCTTTCGTCACATGTTTGTATGTGTTTATGTCAAGTTAGAAGATATATATATATTTATATATATATATAGATATGTAAATAATTATTACCATTTTCCAATACAATCGCATAATGTAAAATTAAAATTGACATGTGGAACAATTTTACATGGAACTGATATGGATAAATATTTTGGCCGTCCGTATTTATCTTATAAAAAATCCATTAATTAATAATTGTTCTATATTCCAGTTGCCTGCAGCACAGGCGTGGGCTTGGGTTTCACGGGCTCACAAAGGTTTGTCAGGAACGTGTTCCTTGTGGAGGTAGCAATGTTCCTCTCTACAAGAATGCTCTAGGTTCCACGGGACAAATTTTTGGCTAAACGTCGGAAGATGTACAACATATAAAAATACAGACGGACAGCCATTTTGCATCGAAAGTTATCTTATCTTTATTTCACCTACATATCCTATGTTGACGTAATAAAATGGTTTACTTCAAATTTTTCTTGGTTGTTGTAAATTTCTTACATTGTTTCGAGTCATTTTGGGCTGTAATTTCCAATGGCTACTAAAAATTATTTGTTTCTCAGGTGACTTTTCAGTTTATGTTTTTAAATATTCATTTTAATTTAGTGCACGTATTTTCGCTGTCGGCATCTTTTGAGAAACTTAGTTACTATATGTTTGGTTAATGATGCTTGAATCCTTAGAGCTCATAGAAAACTAGTTCGTTGAATGCTTAACAAAACAATCAGTTTGACCAGCCTTCATCGTCCGTGTCTTGATCTGAAAATAATGTTAATAGCGAATACCCGAGAGAACTTTCTTACGACATTGTAATGATTTTGGAATATGTTCTTCTAAACGTAAAAAAATATTTCAAAAAATAATTCAAAACTCAAAGCTTAACAAGGTCGAATCTCTGACTGTCAACGAAGCTGTCAGTGGCGTTCTTTTAGATTCTTGGTGACTGTTATTTCTTCGCACGACACAGCGCTTAGGGGAAACATATTTTTTTTTATGAAACGTTTGCTTCTTAACGTAAGAAAATCACGACGTCCGTATCTTACTGGCGTTCAGAGAAGGAAACTCTTAAATCAAAACCCGGAGATGTATTCCCGAAGGCGGGTAGCACTGTTACAATGAAACATTCCGACAACTCCTGCGACGTCACTGGTGCCAAGCTGTATCATCCACATGATGTTCCCTTGGGTGATCCAGCGGCGTGGAGAGAGAGAGACGTGAGGTTGACGCTGCTGCAACTCTTCCTCCAAGGCGATTTTCGACGGACGAACAGCAACACGCCTTTTTTTTTGAACGATAAAAGACAGTTCAACTGCCTTCAAAATTCATCTCAACTTACATATGTCTGACACTCATTTGTGCAACATTTCAAAACTAGATAGAGCCCGCCAAATATTGGCGGCGCGAACTTCCCATCTAGTAAAGTTACTTGACAAAACATGAACTCAAGTAACGCACATTTAAAAGAATCCCAATATTTGCTACACCCCTTCCCCCATGATACATCACTGCACACTTTTTATTTCACGCCCATGAACTGTATTTATATTCTCATGTCCAAACCACTTTTAAACCGAATATTGTTTTACACAATACTTAAATTGAGAGGATTTCATTTCCAAAAAGAAAATATTACGCACCAAAAGCAATTGCGTCTGTGGGGGGATTTATCATTTAGTGTAGTTGTCGAGAATCATATTTTGCGCGCTGGTGAACTCATTATTTAACCACACTCCGGCGTATCTATATATAGCCTGCGTGGTAGCGTTTGACCTTTGCTGGCGAATTATATCTATTATTATAGATAGATGGTGTACGTTTGTAAGTTCATTGTTTAGGATGAATGCCGTACGGCTCACATGGGGTTAAAGAGGCCTTTGGACAGAACTTCCCAGGATATCTGTGGAAGTAAATTTCTTTTAAAAAGTGGGTTGGGGGATTAACATTTTACTGACCGCTAACTTCAGGCAGGCACAGAAAGTCTTTTCCTCTGAATACGTCCGGGTGAAGTCTTTCCGCAGGTTTGCGTGCTAAAGAGGTCAAAGGCTGCCTGTCAGGCTACTTAAATCCTGGAGTTCACGTCCGATCCACGCTTGTCCACATGACTGTCCATCTCAAACATGATCGAAAGGCTATTTTGATTTACACGTGCCATTTGTTTTATTAAGCAGACGACTTTGTGTCTGTGTAAGCTCATTTTGCAGCTCTGGAGAAAAGAGTCTGGTCTAGAGCTCTAATCTCCAACTGCGGCCGGCCTGCGCTTCACAGCACTGTTTTATAAGAATAAATTGTCATTATAGCTTTATTATTGTTAATTTACGCAACTGTAGTGGGACTTAAGCTGGGACGTGCAGTGTTAAGTTAGTTAGGGTTACGCGAAATATGGTGTAGCAGTTCAAGGGTGGTGGGATTTGCGCTTGAAAATTTTGAGATAGCCCTATGTATCGTGGGTACACTATGAGGTAGCCCTATGTGTCATGGGTACACTATGAGGTAGCCCTATGTGTCATGGGTACACTATGAGGTAGCCCTATGTGTCATGGGTACACTATGAGGTCGCCCTATGTGTGATGAGTACATAATGAGGTAGCGCTAGGTGATTTGAGTAAATTATCTTAGATAATGCATACTGACTTATCAGCTTTGAATGAACTCTATTCTAATAATTTTTAAAAAAGGAACTAGAATCAGAGATACGTAATAGCACTAGATACTATAATAAGAAGTTACAGGGTAAAAAAAGAATCAGTAATACAAAGAAGCAATAAAATTATTGGGAATCAGTAACACAAGAATCCGTGACACAGGGCAGTACCAGAAATAGCTACACATTGTAGCACTCGAATTATTGATAGATAGTAGCACAACAAATATGTGACACTTTCCGACCCCACAATCCGTGGCATAGAATAGAACTAGAATCAGTGACACATTGTTCTAGAATCAGTGGCAAAGAAAAGCACTAGAATCAGTGGCACGGAGTATCATTAGAATCAGTTGTACATAATAGCACAAGAATCAGTGGCAGAGAGTAGCATTAGAATCAGTTGTACATAATAGCACAAGAATCAGTGGCAGAGAGTAGCATTAGAATCAGTAGCATTGAGTAGCAGTAGAATAAGATGCACATGATAGCACTGAATCAGTGGCACAGAGTAGCACTAGAATCAGTGGCAAAGAGTAGCACTAGAATCAGTGGCAAAGAGTAGCACTAGAATCATTGGCTGGCTCAGAGTGGCACTAGACTCAGTGGTACAAAGTGGCACTAGAATCACTGACATAAGGCAGCACTAGAATCAGTGACATGGAGTAACAATAGCATTAGTTGTAGGTGAGAGAGAGCAGCTTTAAAATCAGCAACACATACATGTAGCGTATAACTATAACTTTTAGTACATTGATTAAAGTGTTGTTTTTTTTGTAGGCGTATCTCTGGTTCTTTAAAAAATGCATTTCATTTTTTCTTTCTAATTAAAATTTGCCCCTTTCTGAATTATTTGTTGTTTTGCTAATTTACTTGTTTTTTTCTTTTCAAGTACATAAACTTTTCTATTTTCTTGTATTCATGTTTTATTCTGATGAATGCGATGTTTCTTGATAACCGCAATCTTTCTTCCCATTCATCGGTAGATATTTCATAACGGAATTACTTTGTATGTTTGTTTCTGTAAATATGTCAGACTCTTTTTTTTAAATAACATGATGACGTCGTTAATAAAATGGTGGACAGGAAGTAAACCACATCTCATTAAAGTTTTTAAATTAATATCCCAGGAATAACAGAGAGGTCACATATATTATTTACAATTAAAAAAAGTACACGAAATTATTAGCATTTCCTAATTAGACGTAATTGGTAAGATGAATATTTGGTTCATTTCAAATTATAATACTTTTTTCGACCTGTCTGATTCGATTATTTTTCTTCTGTCGAAAAAAACCGTGTCCATCTCGCTGATCACAACGCATTTATCCTTAAAGCATCAGAGAGCTAGCTGTGTGTTTCTGTGGCTTTTGTGGCGTGACAGCCACCCCACGACAACTTTGTCCGCAACAATCATAGACTTTGTTTTTATTCAAAATGGGGTTTCTGCGGTACCTTCATTCCTCACGCGCACAATAGTTGCAGGGAACCACCTGGACAATGCAGCCGTGGACTTGACATCTATCGAGAGCTTCAAGGCTGCTGCCCTGGCATCCGCTGGGAGCCGGTAGGGTCGCAGCATCGCTTCCCCCAACCGTTGCACATATGCCAGGACATGGGATGCAGGAGTGTAGCCTACCAGAACCAGAACCTGTTGTGTATTCGTTGTTCTATCGCTGTCTTAATATCTACACACACATGGATGGTGTCATTATTAACGTTACTTTACATAAATTGATAAAAACACTAATTTTTTTTCTTTTCAATTTTAGGATAAAGTAGAAACGTTTTGATGAGTCCGGGATGTGTGATGCCATGAAGTTTTCTGAGGTCGTCCTAACTGCGGGTCTGTTCATTGCTGGTAAGTTATGGTATTTAGAGTTGTAATTTGAATGACTAATATTCGTAATAGATCGCCCTCATATCACTTGAGTAGGATTTTTATGGTATGACATTTAATTGCGTATAATACGTCCCCGAATTTAAAATGTACAATTTAAAAAAAAAAAAAATTATGAAACATTAAATGCAGTGGCGTAGCTGGGGGGGAGGGGGGTCCAAATTTGAAAGTACCCCGGGCCCCTTCTTGAGGGGGGTCCCCAAAGGAGTGTCCGAATTTATTTTTTTACATTAAATAATGTCGAATGTCAAAACGCAGGGGCCCCTAAAGAGGCCAAGCCCCCCGCCCCCCCCCCCGGGCCCCCAAATCCCTAGCTACGCCACTGATTAAATGTTCTATTACATGCTCAGACATTATATTTAACAAAATGTTGACTTCAAACGGTACCTAAAGAATAGGAATGATTTGCACCGAGTGCTGCCCCGGGGAAGGGGGGGATAAGGTACCGTGACTAATTAAAAACTATAAACATGAGGTTACAGGCTTTACTTTCAAATGAAAAGAAACTGGTTTAACGGCGATTTAAACAACCGATTTGATCGGAATTTTAAGCTGATTTTACACCTTGGCGTACATTTGCATATTCCTCCCCCCCCCCCTTTTTTAAAATTAAATACACTCTTAAAACAATTACGTATGTTTGGTTCCTGGTGTATTTCACATAAAAGCGGTTTAATTAAAAAAAAAACACATAGGCGACCTCGTTTGTAGAGATGAAGATTTGGTTTAATGTAATCTTTTGCGCTTTTTAACATTTTAAAAAACGCTTATTCTCATCACGATGTACATTTATCATGTGTAATTGCATTTATCATGTGTAATTGCTTCTAATATCCGAAAGTTTGATTCCAATAAAACAATTTTTTTTAAATGATGCTTTTTTAAACGGTCTTTTTCTATATTGTATTCTTTAAAGTCTAAAGCGTTTGATTCTTATAAGCCAGTGATCTCAATAAACCAATGATCCCAATAAACCAGTGATCCCAATAAACGGCGTCTACTATAATTTCCTACTCAATAATTTATGGTTTTCCAAAAATAATTACATTTTCAGTTTGCGCTCAGCAGCAACCTATCATAGACAAAGAATACGTTCCCGTTGGAGGGATGTTTACAGTAACCTGTGATGCCAGTCGTTTTCCTCCTGGGACTATTCCTTCAAATTTGAATGTCATCACCGAGTTGGGTATGGTGAGATTTGTGGATGGAGGACGGAGAGAACCAATCGCTACTTATAGACCGTTTCCAATTCCTGGCTTTTCTAATGTATCCAAGGTTAGTGATTAGCTTGGATAGATCCATGGGCATTAGTTTGGATAGATCGATGAATATAAGTTTGTATAAATCCATGGACATTAGTTTAAACAGATTAATGGACATAAGTTTGGATATATCCATGGACTAAATTTAGATTTATTCATAGACATTAGTTTGGATATATCCATAGACATTAACTTGGATATATCAATGGACATTTGTTTTGATATACGCATAGACGTAATGTTGGATATATCCATGGACATAAGTTTGGATATATCAATGGACATTAGTTTTGATACATAAACGGACATTATTTTGGATATATCAATGGACATAAGTTTGGATACAGCAATAGAAAAACGTTTGGATATATCCATGGACATTGAGTTCAGTTGTTTTCTGAGTGTTGTAAAAAAATTATTGAGCTTTCATAAAAAATGGACTTGTTGACAGCAATGCGAAGTAGCCACAGACACAGACACAGATTAGTATTGGGGTTAAGCGTTTTGTTCTGTTTAGCGTAAGCCGATAGAAACTTTCCACGAGATGTGTTTTTAAGACAGCTATTATTGCATTGTTTTCCTTTGTGGTTCGTATTCAAAACATTGAATGAAACGGTTTCAGATTTGATCATCTTCCACGTTTTGAACTTTTGACAATTTTAGTAGTAATTAAACGCTCATCAAATGCTTCTTCACAACAACACTAACATCAAAAGAGAGATAACTTAATAAGGCTGTATATTACTCGAAGGTTAATGAACTGATCTCTTTAACGACTTCGACACGGTTCAATGAAAGCAGACACAAGGCCAGTGAAATAACTCATTGTTGTGGTGCGTAGAGGAATGGTAACCCTAAGTCTGACCCAGCGAGCAACTCTTAGAGAGAAACTCACACCAGCTGACCATTAAGACAAAACTGGCTTGTGATGGGAATTCTTTCAATGACTAGACTAAAAATCAAATGATACCTTACCCAGATGTTTCCCAAAGTTCCCATCCGCACAAAATGAGACACGAAATATGATAAAAGATTTTACAAATTCATAAATCTGCCCCTGGTGCCTGGTACAGTGTGAAAATTATTTACTGGTCCGTTCCACTTAAAGGTTTGGACACACTGCCTCAGACCCATGACGGACCTATCTTAAGTAGTTTGCTATTACAAGTGTCAAATAAACCTACGCTTTAAAGATGACTGTTGTTTTTTTTTCTGTTTTTTTTAAAAAGTTTTTTCCAACCGGAAGGAACTGGGCGGTTGAGGCTTCTGGTGGCGTTGCTTCTGGAGATGACACGACCAACAATAAAGTGACGATAAAGCTAGAGCTGGTTGTCAAGGATGCGAAATGCTCTGATGCCGGGATCTACAGTTGCAATGCTAGTTCCAGCATGCCTGTTACTGGGACGGAACTGTATGCCAATTCTCAACGTTTAAAAGGTTTCTGTTTCAATTTTCATTTTCTTAAAAAAAAAATTTTTTTAAATCTAAGACGATGCCATTTACATAATGTTCATAAAGTGTTATCCTTTAAAAAAAAAACAACAACCGAAATTAACGTTCACTCAAACCCGGGGGAATGGTCAGTAGATATAAGCTGTACATAAATTTTAAGGACAAAAATGATGAGCTTATACTTAAAATAAAGAGACATAGAAGCCATCAATATATTTATTCACTCCTTGTATAAAATTGTTCTTATTTTATTGAAACAATGCAATTTATGAATACAAGGAATGTGGCAAAGCCGCGACTGAAAGACTTCACCAGCTTTTCCTTCATATATGACAGGAAGCGGCAATATCACAGAGTTTCAAGGACCCATCTATTGCTCACGTGTAGAAGCGCAGAAGGAAGCGTCAATCCTGCTACGACTAACTTGTCATTTCTTTGCTGTCCATTGCTGACAAGGTACTCGCTAGAGTCCATCTAAACCGTCTTTAGACGAATACTGCGGAGGGTTTCCCACCGTCATGAACAGACTGTTGACTTATTCTCCAGCTGTGTAGACCTGACCATGGCTGTCGTCACTTTCAGTTGAGAAATTCTGAGAAATATTGTTGTCAAATACGTGTGCCACAGAATGTGTATTTCAATGCAACGGATATTTAATGATGGTATGTCAAATACGTGTGCCACGGAATGTGTTTTTCAATGGTACGGATATTCAATGATGGTATGTCAAATACGTGTGTCACAGAATGTGTATTTCAGTAGTACGGATATTAAAATATGGTATGTCAAATACGTGTGTCACAGAATGTGTATTTCAGTAGTACGGATATTAAAATATGGTATGTCAAATACGTGTGTCACAGAATGTGTATTTCAGTAGTACGGATATTAAAATATGGTATGTCAAATACGTGTGTCACAGAATGTGTTTTTCAATGGTACGGATATTGATGGATGGTATGTCAAATACGTGTGCCACAGAATGTGCATTTCAGTAGTAAGGATATTAAAATATGGTGTGTCAAATATCTGTGTCACAGAATGTGTTTTTCAATGGTACGAATATTCATTGATGGTATGCCAACTAAGTGTGCTACGGAATGTGTATTTAAATGGTACGGATATTTAATGATGGTATGTCAAATACGTGTGCCACAGAATGTTTATTTCAATGGTGCGGATGTTCCATGACGGTAAACAGGCGAGCAGGTTTCGGGAAAGTGTAATAATTTCTGATAGTAATCGTGATTACTTGACCTACCAGTATGATTTCATGTGCACTGATTGCACTTGGTGTCCCAAACAGTGACTTGATTGTTCTGTGGAGTTTTGATGTTGTCTGACTTGACTTGGTGACCCAGAGTGACCGGACTGTCTTGCGATGTTGTCATGTTGACAACAAGCTTTTGTATAATTCTTTTATTTTCATTTTCTCATCTATTTTTGCAACAGAGCCTTTTTCTTGGTTTACAATTGTTTTACTTTCAAAGGGAGATATGAAAGTCAAGATAATCTATTTGACTGACCAGTACTGCTCTCATGTTTATCAACGGAACGTGGTGACACACAGTGAACTGTTTTGTAATGTGTCTTGCTAGCTTACTGGACGTGGTCAGTTTTATTCATAAATGAATACGCAAAAAATTCCGTGTGTAAATATTGGTTGGACAACTGAAGTGATGTTCATGTGATGGGGTGTGTAAAACGAAATATAGGATAAAGAACAATGTTAGTTATAACAGATACAACCACATTGATTGTTCATGCATTGTTCAGAGAATATGTGTCCAATAGTGTTAAAAAAGAAAGAAGCTCCAACTATTGTCATCCTCATTTTCTCCACCATGCTCCTTGTTGTTTTCAGAGAGGGAGACATTTTAATTGGCATCAGATACCAAACCGATGGTTAAAATACTTAACCTCAGTGTTATACTCACTAAATCCAAGGTTCTGAAAGACATTATCAGCGACTTTCTGCATATCGACAGCTGTGACCTAAGCGTTGAAACATAGGCAAATATCAAACACAGTGTTTAAGCTTCTGGGATGACGGCGAAAAATGCGGTCTTTGCAGAAACTCAAAAATCTAACGTCGGCGGGCCCTAAACCCAAGTCAATACCGAAAGGCTTAAACTGCTAAAAAAGTTTTTCTTACATGGGCAGAACTCTTACACAAAGCGTAAACATGATCAGATTACCCTTTGAACTTGAAGAATTGGCGTAACATTGGGAAAGCTGTAAAATAAACTATAAACAAGAGGGCGCGTCAATTTCCGAAACCAAAATCAAAGTTTACGATGTGGCTGTGCTCCCAAACGCTACTACGGGCATGTGGAACACGGAAGAATGTCAACGCCATCCTAGAAAGGTGAACAAATTTCACGCGAGGAGTATAAGGAAATTCCTAGACATCAAATCGCATAACACGGTCACGTACTCGTCCAAGAAGGTCTCCCCTTCATGTCCAACATATTATTGCAGTTCCAGTTCCGGATTTGGCCTGGACATGTTGCGAAAATATAAGCAGACCGTTTGCCCTAAATATTTTTTTTTGTCTAGCTCCAAGACCTTTGCTAGGGGACTGAAGACACATTTTAAAAAAAATTAGAACGAATCCATGAAATATTTTACGTTAACCCAAACTCGTCGTAATATTCCGAAACGTAAAAATATTCCTTAAACAAAGGCTTTAGATGTATATCTATATAAAGGTGAATGTTTGTTTGTGCGGGCGGTAGGGTGGTGTTTGTTCCACAAAGGCTTTTACATGGATTTCATGGATCTTGACCAAACTTGACACATATATCCATCTTTATCCGGAAGGAACTCTTAAGGGGTTATGAAGTTTTTATAACATTCCGTTTGAGGCCGGGGGCACCCAATTCGTTTTTTTCCCCTTAAATGAGCTCTATAAATAAAATTAACAACAAATACTCCTACATGCATGGATGGATCTCGAACAAACTTAGTATACATATACTTGATTATCCATATTCAAATACCGAAGGTATTGAACTTATAATATCCATCCCTCTGGGGCCGGGGGCCCCGTTTCATTTTTTCTTATATAAGCTATATAAATATTAATAAGCTTAGTACTCCTACATGAACGGATGGATCTTGACCAAACTTAGTACACATATACCTGATTACCCATATTCAAATACCGAAGGGTACTGAACTCATAATATCAATTGATCCGGGCCCTAAGGGCCCCTTGATTAACTTAAAAGAAAATGGAATATAGTTATATCATTTGTTAAGGATTTTTATCGTATTCAAAAAATATTTTGAAAAGTAATTTTTACAATATGTTTCGAGCAGGTTATTAAATATAATCTAGACTATTCCAGAAAGTTCTAAATTGTTACAAGGGAATATATAGTGGGATCTAAGGGATTATTGAAATATTAGTTAGTTCTGTTCATGTCTATACTGCACCGGAGTCAACTGTTCTCTCAGTACCACTGAAGAATTTTTTGATGCGGGATCCTAAAGTGGTCGGGATCCCATCATAATCTTTGTCCCAACGGGTCCTAACCTTGAACGGATCCACCGGGATCGGGATCACACATCGAAACGGGGACTGCGCCGGGATCAGTGTCAGAATGGGATCAGGGTTCCGATGGGATCGGGTTCACACAAGGAAGGGGTCCTAATGCAATCCCGTGAAACGCCGGGTCTATTGGCTAGTTTATCATAACAAACGGATCAGCTGCAGCTGAGCATAAGGGACAAGCCAGAAAATCCCTTGTTATCTCTGTCCCCGGAGTTCTCCCATCCATCCCCTGCTGCACCTTCTGCCCATTACAAAATTTTTTACATCTGATTGATAGGGATCAATATTTTTGTCTTCCGTATTTGTCTCATTAAATAAATTCTAAATATATAGAGTGTCTTTTATATTCTAGGAGACTGCAGCACCGGCGCTCACGTGGGTTTCATGGACTCACAACGGTTTGTCAGGAGCGTGTTCCTAATGGAGGCAGGGATATTCCTCTGTTCAAGATGGCTCTAGTGTCAACTGGACTAAGAAATATTTTCTTGACCGTACATTGAAAGATGTACAACATACAAAACTAGAAACAGACAGCCATTTTGTTTCAAAACTTGTCTCTTGGGGGAGCACAAACACGTTGTTGTTTTTTAATTTAGCTTTTAAGTTGCACACAAAAAAAGTCCAAAGCAAATATAAAAAGATAAGGTTGGACTCATGAGCGTTACTTTGGTTTGTGTTTTGATGTTTCATTTCATTTCTTTTGGCGTTTATTTGAACATGCGTTATTTTATCATTGGTTGCCGGGACACCGAGTGGTCTAACCTGAGCCAATCACAAGCTGGTGCACTCGAGTTAAATCCGCAGCAAAGGCAAAAAACACCACCAGCACATCGGATGGATGGGACTTGCTAATTTTGGAGGGCAGCTCATCTAAGAGAAGGCAACTCTTCTAAGAGAAAGCAACTCATCTAAGAGATGGCAACTCTTCTATGAGAAAGCAACTCATCTGAGAAAAGGCAAGTCATCTGAGAGAAGGCAACTCATCTGGCAACTCATCTGAGAGAAGGCAACTCATCTGAGAGAAGGCAACTCATCCGAGAGAAGGCAACTCATCTAAGAGAAGGCAACTCATCTAAGAGAAGGCAACTCATCTAAGAGAAGGCAACTCATCTAAGAGAAGGCAACTCATCTAAGAGAAGGCAACTCTGAAATAATCCCGAGGTTGGTGTCTTGTATGCGTTATGACATCGACACGATGAAAATTCCGTTAACTCATGTTACGTAGAACACATCAAGGGGACACACAAGACGCAATGCTGGTGATCCACGACATCCCGTTCGACATCTAGTCGTCTTGACTAAGTCTTGACATGGACGGGTTAGTGAGGCTGACAAATTGTGTTAAATTCTTAAATATTTTAACTTCAACGCTTTTCGATATCTATGTATATTTTTTGTTAATCCAAAAGACAAAT